AGACTATAGCAAACAATATCTAATCATAAGACTATAGCAAATAGCTAATTATATAAAAATCACTTTTCTGTTTATAGATTATGATCTCAACATTTTTTGATGACGTCAACTGTAGGAAATTCTGACGTCACTTGCTCCATGCCAGCTACAAATAAACTATGATATCATCCTATCTATATGACATGCATGACGTCAGCCAGCTAAAAATAAATTCTGACATCATCCTATCTTAATGGCATGCGTGACGTCATTGGCATTAATTTAAAGTATGACATCATCCTATCTTAATGAGATGCATGACGTCATCTGCGTTAATTTATACCACTCAAAAAGTTAATTAAATCCACAAAGGAAAGGAGTAAAAAATCCCCCCTCCACTACTCTCCTCCACAGAGAAACTCCATTCTTGAAAGAAATCTCTCTATTTATTTTTTGTTACTTAGTAACTTTTTTTCTTATTTATTCCTATTACCCGATTCCTTCTCACGCACGTGATATCGCCGTGCAGTGAGGGTCTTTTGGTTCGGACCCCCCTACATTAGCCTGCGTAGCAGGCGCCGGTTTGTTTTCTAGGGCGAAGGAAGAAATCTCGAGGACGCGCGAGGGGAGAAAAAGAGAGGAGGCCTCCTCTCCCCTTCGTGTGTTGCCGTCGCGCGGCCTTTAAATAAATAGGGACTCTTAGCATCGACAACGGCCACGGCAGCGAAAACGTCAATTTTAGAATGAATTGGCGTTTTTTTCAACTTTGTCGCGTTTATTGAAATTCGCTGAAAATATCTAATGGAGGCAAATTTCCCTGGAGTTGATTTCTTGGGGACCGCACTCAAGTTTAGAAAAAGAAAGAAAATATCGTCGTTACTGGTTTAAGTCTTCTGTAAAACGTGAAATTAGGCATTTTCACGTCTTTTTTGACGTTCTCGTTGCGGGCGCCATCGTTGTTGCTAAAACTCCCTAATAACCGGCACCTGCTACGCAGGGTACGCGTAAATCCACCTATCAGTTTTGAAACGTTTGTAGAATAAGTGAATGATTGCGCTAAAATCTGGGGTCGCAAGTTTAATATAGCTAGAAATTAGCTTGTAACGATTGGAAATCATTAGCTGCGGTAAACAGACTGTTTCGACAGAGCGAGTTCAAACTGAATCGCTCTCTGTATAAACTAATTAAGGTCAACTTTACACCTGTAATACGCATATAGGTTCAAAGTGCATTATTATGACAAAAATACCAACGGAGACGGGAGTTGCTGAAGGTGAAATACTCTACATAAAGCCCAGACATCCTGATAAAGGTGTAACAACCATACGATGCGAGACGTGGATGCGTTGACATCGAGAGGAGTCTGTGAGGAAATGGGCCTTGGGTTATCCGCGGAGGAAGCTGATCGATTGACGTTTTGTTGCTGTGAATGTTGCCATGGAGACGCATGTCGTAGTTTGTCACAGGCGATTTGTGGAGCCTTCCCACAGCATTTGACGATCAATCAGTGTTTACTCCGACGATGTTCTCAGCCTACCAGAGAGAAGGTTACAGAGTCAGTATGGAAGCCGAAGTAGAAGCGTTTATGTCCGATGAAGGGAGTGATGCTACATCCGTGGCATTCCTAGTCTAGAATGAAAGAAGTGCATACAATCTTTACCCTGGGTGCCAGAGACATTTTATGCGCGTTTTCCGGTTGCGGTTAAGTCCTACTAGTGACACCGAAACATCCAGCTGACACCAGAGAAAAAGAACCTCTGGTACCCAGGCTAACAAGCCGTCGGAAATCTGATTGAAATTCAGATCGCCCTGGTCATTGCTAATTTGTCTATTTGATTTTAAATATATTGTAATTTAGTATTTATTTATTTTTATTAATATTTTTTAGACTCACACAGTTTTATCTTCATTTTATAATAGAACTTGTAAGTTTTAACGTTTAAAACCTTGAATAAAGACCTTTATTATTATTATTACTATTATCATCACCATCATCATCATCATCATCACTATTATTATTATTATTATTATTATTATTATTAATTTCCCCCGGGGAAATAGTTCCGTAATTAAAAGAGCGGTGATACTAGTCGTCTCGTCAAGGAGTCTAAATTGCGGATACAGGTTCAGCTTGAGGTTTTCAGCACGAAACGCACATTTCAGTTACCTTCGGATGATGGTTTCGCTTACGGTTGTGCGTGAAGAAATAAAGAACGAAACAGACGAAAAGAAAAAAGAAACTTAACGCAGAAGAAAGCATTCAATGACATCTTCTCTATTCAAATTAATATGATAACAATTTATCTTGCTTTTGTTTCAGAGTTGTATCTTTTAGGGGTCAAATAAAGATTGAGCCACGCCCAGTAATTCTAATTTTCCCGACAATAAACCCCACCCCCTTAAAACAGACTCGTACCTAGAAGCTATTTATGTGCTTTGGGGGTGAGGAAAATAGGTAAGAGAGGGTGCCGGGGCTAGGTTGAGGCGCGCGGGGACTTATGGGAAGGGGGCGACAATTTTTCCCTCGTCTCTTTCACCCCTAAAACACAAATAACGACTGGGTGCGAGTCTGCCCTTAATATAGGAGTACACCCCGGATCGTTTCCTTACGAAGTTGCCGTCCCGGGAAAACAACGTAATAGGAACCTTTCGCAGCAACGACGACGGCCAAACGGTAGCAAAATCAAAACTATTTACAGACTTACTGTTGTTGCAAACTTTGTCGCTATTACTCAGTCACTTTTGGAAAATGTCAAATGAAGGTGAATTTCCCTGGAATTGAATTACTCTGGACCGAACCCAAGTTTTGAAGGAAAAAGAAAGATTCGTGGTCGTGTGTTTACGTGCTCCATAAAACGCCGCATAAGAGAATTTCACGTCATAGTCGTGCATTGACGGCAAGGAAATGAACAAAAAAGTGTGATGCTGTTTTGCTTATTAAATCTTTTTCTTCCGTTTTGTTGGCGTTCACGTTGCCTTCGCCGTCGTCGACGCTAAAGCTTCCTAATGTCTAACCCGCAACGACGGAGAGACAAATCCAGCTAGAGTTCTGAGCGGGAAACGAGCCCAGGACCTTAGGTTTACGATTCTGTACCTCCTAGAACTAAATAGAGAAGGCAGGAAAGCCGCTTAGTGACAGACAAAGAAATGTACTCTTTGGTACTCTTCGACCGTGGCTGTAATATGTCAATGCATTATTTGTATAAAACATATGTAAAAGTCCGTGTGAATTTATATTTATTTATATTTATAAATTGTCAGAATTCTATCGAAGCCTTTCTCCTTTTCATGTACGAGTGAGTATATTCAATTCAACCCGCGCATTGTACGTCAAGAAATTAATATATGAAAACGAAAAAACGTTGTTCAATGTGTCTGTATTCTCTGAGGTGTTTTTTTTTTCCACCTCGGTTTAATAAAGCCTCTCTACTGTTATAGCACTAAACCCGGAGTTGACCAGCTCCTATTTGCGTGATCACTTAATGGCACAATGCAAGGCCTCGTCCACTCGTATTTGGATATTTTTGAAAATTTATTTGAGCACGAAAAACAGCGACGCAGTGGAAAAGGGAGTAAAAGCGAAAGAACGAAGAGAAGTCTCCTCCTCTCTCCCCCCTTACATTTTTCTGGATTGCCCACCTACCCCTCCCCTAAGCCAACATTAACACTTACTTCTCACTTATACATGCTGGCTGAGGGGAGGGGTAGGTTGACAGTTTCCCAAAAACGTATAATGATCCTCTCTGACTTCGAGCCACACTCCACTATCTGCGTGAGAGGCTAGCATGGAACAGGCCAGTGTTTCTTCTGAGAACAGAGGGTGGTCTGCCTGTGTCTACACCACTTGAAGAGCTCCCGTACACCTCTCACAGCAGTCATAAGTCACTCTGAAGTTCTTGGTAGCAAACCGGCTTTGATAATCATGACCAATGTACTGCTGCGACATTCTTTTCATAACACCTCTGAGTTGCTGTTGTTCGGCTTGAAGATCCACGTCATCGGATAAGACCTAATAAACAGAAAATATGGCTCTTTTTTGCAGTCAAATCTGTTCTAGGCCCGTTGGGCGGAGGGGACATCTCAACAGGAATGTTCTGCTGAAAAGAGCAAGATTATCTTACATCCAATATGACAGATTTATAATAGTATACAGTAATTATTTAGATTTAGCTTTAGATTTCGGGGTCATAAACAGGGTATACAACTGCACTATTCAGGGTCTTGAACAGCGTGTCTTGCTGGACCGGAAGCCTTTAACAGGGGTGCGCGATCTTCTACGTGTGTGGTACCAGACTAAACCTTTACATGAAATTTTAAGAGTTGGTTATGAACATTCAAAATTCAAGGAATTCTATGAGATACGCCAAATTTCATGGGGTGAAGTGCTAAAGACAAATGTCTTTTTGTGGAAAGTACTGCTGAAGAGGTTTCAATTGAATGGTGATTGATCACAAAACAGAATTTCATCCACTGATAAGTTAGAACTACAATACATTTATTTCTTCGAAGTAATGACTCTGGGGGTAAAAGGTACGAGAAAGGAAGAATGATATTGGAATGGAGAGAAACTACAGTTCATTACACTTATTATAATTCCCTGCTAGCAGGTCTCTCACAACAAGGGAAGAATAAGGAGAGGATTGAGGAAGCCCTCTGTCGGCCCCCGACGCGTTCTTCCGTGTAGCCGCCGACCACATTTGTGGCCGAAACTGACTGGTTTTCAGAACTGGTTTCATTTATTGTAGAATGCGCGTGTCCTGTTGAGACTCCATGCTGGATTTTTTTTGGAACGCACAGTTGTTATTATGCAAACTGGTTCTGTAAGTTGTGTCGCGCGTGATTAAAACTTTACTGGTTGTAAAGGAAACGCTAGTACTGTACATGCAGTTTCATGCATTGAGAGACCTCTGCTAGTAGGGAAATATTATTACAGAGGAGACAAAAGAAATCACTGCCAAGTCTCCCAAATTTTTCGTGTACTGCATAGTTCACTCTGTCCCCCGTACAGGTCACCAAATCTCCCGGATAAAATAGCATTTTTAACTTTACTGTTTAAATTTGGAATTTTGCGCCATTTTTCAAAAATTCAAAAATGTTTTCGATCATAGGACAGTTTCCACGGCCTTTTTCATCAGTACTTTTTAGAAAATTTACAAATTTAGAAGACTTCGTTCGATGTCCTGAGTCACACGGGTGGAGAGAGATGCTTGGGGGAGGGGGGGTAGGGGGTGTACTGCAAAAGAGACAGTCTCCAGACTTTATGTCTCCTGAATTACTAACAAAAAGCTTTTATTTGAATTTTACAACTTTTTTTCAGTCTTTCTCCTGAGTATGCAGTGCACTTATAATCACAAGCAGCCACGTAAAATTAACCTGTAAAGCTAGTTTTTCAGCAGAAGTTGGTCCCATCTTGAGTTTTTCTGTGTTCTCCACTGACTCATGAGTTAACACAAGTGATGTCTCTGAGAGTGACAACGCTGGCAAAACATTCTGAGCAAGATCTAAAGTTTCTTCAGCCAAGGAGTTGTTTAACGAAGCAATTTCTACAATGTTCTGTTCATTTGCGGAGGACAATGAAGGAAAGGATCCTTGAAGAATACCACCTGTGCTTTTTAGCATTGAATGTAAGGACTGAATACACCTGCAATGTGAAAAAACTAAAAAATCAGTGAATTATTGTTATGGGTTATACATTATAAAAATTAAAAATTCTCCCAACGAGGTATAGTCTGCTCCACAGCTGTCTTTGTGTCATCACACAACGCTCCTCCTCACAAACAGGAGCGTTGCTCTCTCCTCCGATTATCGCTATTTTGATGGGGATACCAGGCGGGAGCCTCTGCGGAGGAGAGAGGGAGCGTTGTGTGATGACACAAAGAACAACTGTGTAGCAGACTAAAAGAAGTGCTCCTTTTAAAAACTAGAACCCACTGATAAATTTTTCTAACCATGTATCTGTATGTAATTTCACTGACAAGGAAAGAGGACAATATCTCATATCATCTCAGTCTCCCAGGCTACAGCTGTTTTTGTCTCGTCACGCAATGATGTTAGGAGGCGTGTGTGGCCGGCCGTGTGGTTAACACTCGACCACTGGATCTGGAGGTCCGTGGTTCAAGCCTCGCCAGTTGGGTTGTTTCCTTAGACAAGGAACTTTACTTTGTCTCTCTTCACCCAGGAGTATTAATGGGTACCGGCAACACACTGCTTGGGAGTAACCCTGCAATGGACTAACATCCCGTCAAGGGGGGAGTAGCAATACTCCTAGGTGCTTCATGCTAATGAAACCAGGATAAGTTCCGGCCATTTGGGCCTTTGGCTTGTGTGCACCTTTACCTTACGCAATGACGTTCCCCAAAAAGGAGCATTGAGTGATGAGACAAAAATGGCTGTGAGGGAGACTAATCAATTTAAGCTTACAGGACATATCCACAGATGACAATAAGGAGTAGCTCATTTTTTTATGTAAAGCCCAGCCCTACTATACTCCCCGCAAGCAGAAGTATTCGCCGAACAAGAAGCCTCTCCTAGCAGGGAACCTACCACAGCATGGCTTAGCAGTTAGGACTTGTAGTCCTGAAGCCATGAGTTCAATAGTCCTGCCCTAAGCACCAGCTGGATTTGTTCTTGGTAGTCCCAAGTTCAAATCTTTGGCCACGCTTGTAAATAGCCCACTGGTTCGCCTCCTACCAGTTGGGATTCTTAAACATATTATGTTCTATTTGAATTATTGTTTCATTATCCCTCAAAAGCCCCATAAGGGAAGTGGATAGTTAAGTATTTACTCTTATTCTTCTTATTATTAATAATGAAAGCAGCAAGCTAACTAAATGTTTGAACAAGAACTGACCACATAAGAGCAGCTGGATGCATTTCTTTTTTTAAAAAAAACAAAAATTTAAATGGAATAGAATAAAAACATAGGCCAGGACAAATAATTCTTTTCAGGGCCAAATGTCCAAGTTTTGACTGAATATCCATCCAATTAAGTCTGGTTTACACTGGCAATGTAAGTATAAGTGCAAGTGTAAGAGTCTTGTTTCGAAAGAAAATGAATGCTTCTGATGCACGTGCACAATGTAAAAGCAAAGACAAGAATAAAAAAAAAAAATTTTCTCTTTTTTTTTTTTCAGATCCTTGTGCTTATCTTTTTAAAGTCAAATTACTAGCAAAGTTATAATAATCATAATTGATTACTATTATAATAATTATTATAAATCTGTTTATTATCATTGTTATTACTATCATGCTGATAATTATGATGGTGATGATGACGACGATGATGATGATGTCAGTGAACATAAAGAAGATGCTGAAGCAGATATGTGGGTCCTATACGATTTATGTCAATAGAAGCCAAGCTTGTTACTTGCCTCTTGGTATCAATCAAGTACTGCTGCAGCTGAGCTCTCTCATCTAGTAATCTCTGCAAAGCACTCTGTGCTTGTCGGTACCTTGCATAAAGTGCTACCTTCCAACTTGATAGTTCATCAGACATCATTCTTAAGGAAAAAAACACTATGTTTTAATTTAACATTTAGGCACTGAAGGGGAGTCAACTTGTCTACATTTTCATCCTCATGAGAAGCTGCAAGTGCCACAATTTTTCGTAGATGATCTCAATATATTCTTAGGCATCCGATGATTTCTGAAGATGTTCAAAAGAGTTCTGAAATTCTCCAAATGAGCAACAGTGACTTTCCTACTAACATTCGGGGGTTTTTGGGAAAGTACAATCATTCACTTTGACTTTTCTCTTCTTGAAAATTGGTTCACGTTTATTTCATGTTAAAGGGCTGTGACTCTTGGCCGGGGGCGAGGGATTTTCCTGGGCTACTAACAAAATGACCCCTGGCTACCTTCAGAGGAAAACAAATGGGAAACAGATCCAATTTAACCTTCTAGCTGTTCAATTCCCTGCTTTAAATCAGGATACACCTGACAACTTGAAATCTAAAGTTACAGCCCTGATGTTATAATTATGACATCTTTTTAGAAGGTATCATTTAAGACTGCGATAGCTCACATTTTTCTGCCAAGCATGAGAAATTGGGCCAAAAGCATTGAGCTGAGATAAAAAATTTCTACCTGTATGGGGGACCCACAACTAAGGTGCAAATGCTGCAGGGATACATTATTATACAGGGGTGGATCTAGGGGGAGGGTGTAGGGGGTGCACACCCCCTCCCTGAGATGACCTGCGGTTTTCTAATACAACTGGTATTCTGCAAAAAAAAAACTATGTGGTTTATTGGTGTTGAAGTCGAGCAAGAGACGAGTGCACCCCTCCTAAAAAAATTCCTGGAACCCTCCCTGTTATGGAAGAATTTTTTTTAAAGATTACATACTAGGTAAATGTGTGATTTTCACTGACGATAAAAGAAAGACTGAGTTGATCGCTTCAAGTACCAGTATTTTTTGGTTGACAACTTTTTACTGTTCCTGATGAGCAAGATGCGAAGCTTGCATGTAAGCAATGAGACGGTAAAACACCACTCTTACCTGCTTGCAAGAAATTTTGTTCTCCATACATCACATTCAATCTCAAGCCTGTCTGACTCCTCAGAGTATTCTTCACACACTTTTTTCCAGTGTTTAAGTTCAACAGTTTGCTGGACATTTCTACTGACCAAGTCTTCCAACCTGATTTTGTAAGAACAACAAAATTTTGTAAAATTAGTATTACAGTTTGCAATGGCTGAGGCAGAAAATCCATGTACTCAGTTCTGAGACAAAAATGAAAAATAAACTCTTTTTGAAAAAACGTAACACAAACAAATGAAACCTACAATAGATGTTTCCAACAAATTTGTGAATATTTCTTTATGTTTTCCCCAACCTAACAGAATCAGTTATAGAATTTTGAAATACCTTTGCCCAATATCTTCTCCAACTGATGCTACTAGTAACCTCTTTATCTCTGCATTTACCTGTTCAGAAGAGAGAAAAACAAAGATTTATGACCTGTTAACACTTTACTTAAGACTTCCCTCTCATATGACCCAGTGGAAGAGGACAAACCATTCTCTTGTGATGTCATCACAATTTCATTTTGATTTTTTTCATCCCTTGATGAAAGGCATAAATGAAAGGATGCATGAAAAAAGCTTTAAAGGGGTCAGCTTCTGATTAACTTCTACTAAACTTTTTGTTCTCTTTCCAATTTGCTTGTATTTGCTTGAGAAACTAACGCTACATTCACACGGCACAAGACGAATTTTCAACCAGCTGAAAAATTTGACTGGATAACAGGGTTGTCACTAAGATTTCAAGTTGCTGGGTAAATACAACAAGTAGGTGGGAAATCAAACAGCTACAGGTTTTTTTCTGGTTCTATTTTTCTTCTATTTTCCTTTGAAAGTAGACGGGCGCCATGCCCATAGTAGCGGGGGAAATCCCCACCCCCCATCTCTTAAAGACAGCCCTGGGACAATATTATTTAAGTTCACACGGGACAGTTATTTTTGCTCTGTTCACATGGAGCTTTGAATGGCTAGACATCTAGATTTTGGTATGGTTAAGGTGGTTCTATGTAAACAGAACACCTAAATGTACAAATTTTCAACTGGTTAAAAATTTTCCTAGTGCCATGTGAATCTAGACTAAGTGAGATTTTGATATTACGTGTCAAAATGAATTTGTCAAGTGTAAATTTAAAACATTCCATATGAAAATGAAGTTTTGTTTACTTAAGAATAAAAAAGTAGCACGATATTAAAGACTTTGCATTGTTGAAACCATTATTTTGAAAAGCAGGAAAATTTCTATTGTATTATCAGCTGTGTTCTATGTTATTATGTTAAGTTTGAATCCAACTTTGTTATTCATCTGTCTTGTGTCTTGTGCCGCTGTTTCAAGCCCTGTCACCTGTCCTCATTTACCCTGATGGGGCATCACAGTGATACAAATAATAATACTACACCTTGCTTTGCAACAAAATTAAAAGTCTGCTACTTACTACAATTATGCTTTTTCTTATCACTTCTGACTAATCTTTGCTTGCTAAAAACTTTTTTGTTATACTCATCAACTGATTTTTACAATCAATTTGGGAAAACTGTGAACACCAGAAATATTTCTGGAATGTTATTGTGTTGCAAGATAAAGGCCAGTTGGGCCTGAGAAACTAAACTACAAGCAAGAATATTAATTAGTTTTTGTGGTTTTGTAGCTAGTTGGCGTGCCCTGATATTTGCTGTGATTGGTCGTAACACAATAAATAACATTTCTGAAATATTTTAAGTGTTCACGGTTTTCCCGGTCACACTGTAAAATTTGACGAGGAAATAGTACAACAACAAAAAAAAGATAAAAAATAAAAAGTCCCTTATGTTATCAGAGAGGGGAAGAAAAAAGAGTGGCTGATCATGATCTTGGTTTTCAGAAAACATATTTTTTAACTACTGGTAACAAATTAGTTATTATTTTTTGTTCACACCTTAGTCTGGACGCCAAGCTGCACAGAAAGCTTTGTTTTCTCCTCAACCAACTTAGAGTTTTGTTCCTCAAGGTCATAAATAACTTTCTGACTATCCACAAACTCTGCTGTGTGTTCTACAACAGTAGTCTTCACAGAAAGCTCTTTATAGTTGAGATCTGCGACTGGCAGAGCTAAAGATGGAACTTGATCATCTCCTTTTAATGATATTCCCAACTGATGGTCTAATCTCAGTAACTCAGCACCTTGCAGTAAAATATTTGTTGAGTTTTGTCGATAAATTGCAGTAGGTTTGGGGTGTTCATCATTTTCTGCATAATGTTTATTTTCAGTTCTAGAGACAGATGTTGGTGAGTAACCCTGTCTACGTTGAATCTGGTGGTTAAGTATGTCTTGAGTATTTGTATTCCTCTGTTTTTCTTGATAGTTCGTAGGTTGTGACGTGGCTTTTCTCCCAGTAGAGGAACAAACTGCTTTGTTTCCAAACACTTGGCTTTTCGTAGTTGTTGGTAAAGATGTAATTTTTCTTTGCAACAGTTCACTATCATCACTCCCCTCAGAGATACTTCCATCACTGGAATTACTAGAAGAATACTCCATGCCATCTCCACTTGAACGTGGTACTTTACTGTAATCCACTGTCAAAAAAATATTACCATCATAACAATGAAAATAATGAATATGATGATAACAAAACGATAACAATAATCGAATAAGGTCATAGAATACTGTATATGTTATGAACAAAGAAATCCAATAATTTTGTTACTCTGAAACTGGTTGAACTCTTGTATTTTTACAAGAGCCATTATTTTTGTGCATTCATCATTACTGTAACATTACCATAAAAAATAAATAGATATAAAAAGGAAAATAACAATACATTCTAAGAAAGTTAGTTGTCAATCATAATCAAAATAAACAACATGGATCAAAATCAACCAATTACAGCCTACAGACCTGACCTTTTGAGCCCGCTGAAAAAAAGCTTGTGTTTGCTGAAAGGTCTGTTACAGTGAATGTAGTGTTATTTTCTTGTAATCTGATTGGTCAACTTTGTCTTAGTGGCCCTGGTTACAGTAGTCACACTGTAAGAGAGCTAATTGTGAATCTTATTATTCTCACCTAATGTATGCTCGCCATCCTTTTCACGTCTTTGTAGAGAGAATCTGTTTTGTAAAATAACACACCATCAGAAACAAATGTATGTTTTTTGTTTTTACAGAAAAGTAGAATCGGAGTAGGCTAAGACAAAACCACATGGTATAATAACTTGATTTTGGAAGATAATTAAAAATATATATTAGTGGTTAACTACCTCTCCATCTCCAATGGAAGTGGCTCCAAAAGCTGTGCCATTTTTAAAATTTAATTGAAGTAATCAATGTTCCTTATACTGTACTATGCCCCTGTAAAGAAAGAAAGCAAGACCATGAGACAATAAATCAAGTAGACAAGACAATAACATTGACTTGTCATCTGTGTCAACTAACAGCTGATCTGAGTTGACTTAATAATTAATTTTTCTCAGTTCAGATTTCCGAGAAATCAACAAAGACAAATTTAAGAGAACACAAAAAGGAGATAAAACCAATAGCATCTAAATCCTAAGTAGGGAGGGAGTTGATCATCCAATTATCATGATCAAAGGCTAATCCACGGCCAGTACTAGTGTAATGATGTCAAAACTGCACTGCAAAATTACAAACCAATCGACAGACGCAGGACCGTATCAAGCGATGACAAGACCCTGTATTCTAATTCAAATGACATGCACACATACCAAAGGATCAATATAAACCTCAAAAGTTGATAACTTAGCTCTCATATAAGCTAATGTGAACCCAATCACCAAAATTTCCACGTAGCATAACTGAAACATTGCGCAACAGTAAAATGATACCTTACTTCCGGGGTGAAAATCAAAAGGATGACACCCATTTATATGTGCTAAAAACTTGTAAAAAATAACTAATTATGACAAGGCTATGTGACCTCTTCAGCTTTTAAATTAGACCTGATTGCACGCCATATTAACATCAATCTTAACTTACTTGCCAAAAAATCCGCCATGTTTGATTAGACAGTCCCAGCATTCTATGCGGCTTTGTTGGCTACCCTTCTAGGGAGAGGAAGGTAAAATCGAGGTTGTTGCTAGGGTTGTTGCAAAATTTGACTGTCAAAATTGCATATTTTTTATCGTATACTGCCATGAGGATCTTAGGTCTCATTTGAGGGAAATTTTTTGGTACTGAATGAAATAACGTCTCTATCGTTATATGTTGTTTTTAGCAACAACTTTGACTTCCCTTCTTACCCCTCCCTAGAAAGTGGAAGCTTTCGTCTGCAGGTGCTCGGATGGTGTTTTGGTTTTGTTCGCGCTTTGTTTGAAAATGTTGAGTTCCACCCGCTGGAAATTAGCTTAAAAATTCGCCTCAAATTACCTTTAAAGAGGCTTGTTTTATGGCGTCCAAGTTCAGAGCAAATGGAAGCAGACCCCGCAGAAGAAATGGGAAAGATTTCGTCGAAGAGGAACGCAAAGATGCATATTTTGACTTTGTGGTGGGCGGTGGAGAAATTGATTGTGATTTTCCCGTCCCCAGCTTTTCGTTTCACGTCGCATCTGTCATCGTATTCTTTGTTTCAATAATTTGTTATTGGAATTCCTGCAATGAAGGATTTGTATTCGACGATTCTGAGGCTATTGTGGGTAACAAGGACCTAAAAGCCGAGGTCCCGCTTGGAAAACTGTTTCTTCACGACTTTTGGGGAACAAACATCTCTTCCAATCTAAGCCACAAAAGTTATCGCCCACTGACTATTTTGACTTTTAGATTTAATTACTGGCTGGCTGGTGGACTAAAACCTTCGGAATTTCATTTCTTCAATGTCATACTTCATGCTGTGGTTTCAGTGTTAACTTTGAAACTTTTTTCAGTTCTCATTAGCGCCAGAAAAAGGACCTCTAACGATAATGAGATAAGCTTAACTGGCGAATCCACAAGCATTCAATTTTCTGCTCCCAAGGCAAGTTTGGTCGGCGCCCTCATTTTTGCGGTGCATCCAATTCACACGGAAAGTGTAAGTTAAATATGAGTATCTCTAACTTCAATCTAAAATATTTTTTATATCGCTGACCTCAATTTAAGCTCCTTTGCTTAGTTACCAACTACCTAAGTTTATCTATTTTTTATGCTTGTAAAATTATTTACTTTTTAAGGTTAGCAGGTTGTTACAATTTTCGTTAAATATTTGAATTGTTACCATAATAACAGTTCAATAAATATTTAATGATATTTTTATTCAAGGTTGGTTCACCATTTCAAATTATGAGATAAAAAAATTTAGAGTTGATATTGGATGTTTTAAAATTGAAAATTTGCCTCAAAGATTTATCATCAGTAGCACGTTAATTTTTCAAGGGTATCTTAAAGCCAATTATTCTAGCTCCAGAGGCCTGTTCTTAAAATGCCTAAGATGAAGTAAAACGGTGCTTATGGTATGATAAGAAAAAAAATAACCTCTGGAACCCAGGCTAAAAGCCACATGCAATTTACACTGAACAACTTTGTCACATGTGATTTGCTTACCACAAGCCTTCTGCACGAGTTGTAATATTGGTGTAAATCAAACCTACCACATACTTGAGATTTTTATAGGTTTTATTTAAACAATACAAAATGTGTCATAAGCTTATCATAAGCACTTGACATGCAAGACTTGCAAAAACCTGTATGGTGTAAATCAGCCTTAATTTCAGGTTATATCATGCTTGCTCTGACTGTATTACAGAAGGAAATAATAATATTAGCTACCATTTAGACATGAGGAGG